TATGTTGGGCATACACACATGTGCCCAGTGTGAGTTTAAGTCACCAGGTCTGGGACTTAAACCGTGCTCAGCTACATGGGAGTTCAGTGACATAGCCATTACACTAACTGCTAGTACCCCTTTTTTCTTTTTTGAGGGAGATTTTTGCTATAGGGCACATGAGCATGCCAGAGAGACAGAGAGAGAGGGAAAGTGAAAATCCTCCCCCGGGGGGATGGCTACTCCGCAATCTCTTCTCCACCATTCTCTTGGGATTTGGGGGCACACATGCATACACACCCAATATGAGTTTTAAGCCATTAGGTATGGGACTCGAACTGCGATTCACCATGTGGGAGTCCAGCCCATAATGGCTACACCACCTGCTGTTCTCGTGATATGTTTTTCTTTTTCTTTTGGTGAGATTTTTGCTATAGGGTGCGTGTAGCACGTGTATCCACTGGAGAGACAGAAAGTGAAAAATCACCCCCGCCAGGAGGGATGGCCACATCTCAACCCCTTCTTCTCCATTCCTCCCTTGGGATTTTGGGACACATGCACACGTGCCCAGCTTAAGCATTTTATATATATGTGTATATATATATATATATATATATATTTTTTTTTTTGCCAGACTGAGAGAGACAGAGAAACAGAAAGCGAAAAATCACCCCCCGGGGGGATGGCCACACTGCAATCCCTTCTCTTCTTGGGATCTTGGGCACACACGCGCCTGGTGTGAGTTTAAGCCACCAGGTCCAGGACTCGAACCACAGTCGACTACGTGGGAGTCCAGCGACATAGCCATTACACTAACTGCTGGTCCCAACCCAGCCTGAGTTTTAAGTTGTTGGGACCAGGACTTGAACTGCAGTTGACTACGTGGGAGTCCAGTGATGTAATCATACTACCTGTGGTCCTAACCTCTTTATTCTTGATTCTATTCCCTCAAGCCTCACTCTCCTGAGCAGAATTGCTTCCTACTTTACTACAAAAAAAGCCAAGCAATGAGGAGAGCTTTCACCTCCACTACACCTACCCATCTCTTTGCATTTATGCCCAAGTACTATCATTTCTCTCCTGACATCATTGACATTTGGTCTGGGATCCACATGAGTATTAGATTCCTTCCTTTGTTTTCCACTTAAGGACATCCCTCCAAGAACTCTCCCTTTCTCTCCTGCATCCATCACTGTTTCTTCCTGTGCTGGCTCATTCGCATCGGCATACAAAGAAATCAACTAACAAACCATAAAAGCTCTCTGGAGCTTCTTTCTTCCTCCAGCTGTTGTGCTTTCTCTCTTTTTCCTCTTTATAATATTGGGTCATGGGGGGGGCAGCAGATGGCATAGCAGTTACATATCTGGATACCCAGATGGCCAACCACAGTTCGAGTCCCAGACGTGGTAGCTTGAAAATCAGGCTGGGCACACGTGCGCATGTGCCCAAGATCCCAGTAGGAGAATGGAGAAGGAATAGTGGTGCGGCCATCCCCCTGGGGGTAATTTCTCACTTTCCTTCTCACTGTATCTGTTTCTCTCCCTCTCTTCCCTGTGAGCGCAGG